AGAGATCTTAACGATATTGAAGCATCCCCCGGTGATGACTTATGACTTTTTACTTGTAAATAGGAACGTTTCAATAATTCACAATATTTGAATGAATGAATGAATAAATTAGGGGTATTGTTACACTACCACCTGCATACATCTATTGTGACCCCCTTAATTCTGAGTGCTTCAGTTGATAGGATTCTCAGTCAAAGCACCTCATCCAGCTTAGAGCTTTTACGAACGCAAGTAATCTGGATGGATGAATGGATGGAATGTCTTCTTGTCCAACGGTGCAGCATCCGAAGCATTCATCATCTTTAGTTATAAGCATGATTCAGTAAATATAACTTTCAGTTTTGTACTCATTTTATCTCCGTTTTTTTATTCAATATACATAACAATTCATAAAAAAAATCTTCATCAAGTCTTTTTACGTGATCCTCACCCAAAAGAAGACCGGAAACGCAAGCTCAACTACGAAAGTTAGTGAAAAATTTCGAATCTTGTTGAACATTAAAGATATCATAAAATTGGCTTAGAAATGAAAAATAAGGCATGCTCCTCATACAGAAATTAATTTTGGAAATTATTTTTGTCATTTTCACCCTCGGAAACCCAGAAAACGACACCCTCAACGTACAAATCGCTCTTGAAAAATATATATTGCCTGAAATTTACCTCAATTTTAAAAATTCGCACTATTTTCAATCCTAAGGGACGGAACTTCCGGCTCTGCGACTGAAATCCCTCCAATAGGTCTAGGGAACATGTGTACGAAGTGGCACAATTTTAATATGGAATGCAGTTTGTCCCCACCGGCCGCTCCCACTATTGTGGTACGCCATAAATCCTGATGGGAATGCCGTCATCTTGAATAATTTGCAGTAATCAAGGGATCGCCTAACTAATCTTCAAATTCTCCTACTTAAAGTGCCTATTCCTCTGAGGATGTTGGCTATCACATTGGTCCATATTACGTTATTTACAGGAGTTCTGAACAAAGTTGTTGATGTCATTGCGGTACATGCTCTTAAATTTTTCTAAACTTTTATGTTGTGCAGTGCCTCTTTTAATAGGTTTTCTGAGTACACATTGAATAGGAGAGGCGATAGTATGCAACCCTGAAGTACTCCTCTACTTACGCTGAACTCGTCTGATGTTTCGTTTTCGGCCCTTTGTTGAAGGTATAGCTTTGATATCACTTCTGTATCTCTCTTGTGAATTCCTGATTCATGTAGGATTGATATGAGTTCACTATGCTGAACTTTGTCGAATGCCTTTTCGAAATCTATAAAGCTCGTCACGTTCTCGTTGAATTAGGACTTGTATGGAGAAAAATTTCTCTCTAGTACCTACTTAGTCCCTTCCTGAATCCGAACTGGGTGTCACTTACGTTCTCGACGAGTCTTTTATATATGCGTGCTTATATGATGTTTAGGAAGGTTTTTAAAGCGTGGCTCACTAAGCTGATTATTCTGTGAAGCGGGATAAATGTTGATAACAGCCAATCCTGTTGCATTTGACCGCTTATGTAGATTTTATTGAAGAGGGTGCTTAGCAATTTAACTTGCGACTCCAGTAGTTTGAGGACTTCTCCATGAATCTGGTCTGGCCCGGGGGTTTTGTTGTTCTTCAGTCGTTTAATAGCTGACTCCACTTCCTCCTGTGTGATATGGGCACCTCTTGGCCAACCACTCCTCCATATACTGTTTTCATCTTGTAAGTTTTTGGTCAGTTTCAGTAATGATGTTGTTGTCTGAACCCAAGATTACTCCTGCACTCCATTTTGGATACATTCCCGTTGCTTCCTTTATTTTCTTATGAAGATTAAAACTGTCGTGTTCTGCTTGTAATATCTCAATTTCATTGCATTTTTCCTGTATCCACCGTTCTTCAGCCTCCTTGATTGATCTCAGAACTTTTTTGTGTAGTTCCTTGTATTTCAATGTATCCTTGTTTTTGTATTGTCTTCTCTCTTCCGTAAGTTCCAGGGTTCTTATTCTTGAAATAGGGGAGCAGTGTTCCCAGGAGAACGAGTTTTCCGTCTTTTTCCATATTATCATATGCATATCACTGAGAAAGACGGAACATTCGTTCTCCTGGGAACGCTGCTCCCTTGTTTTAAGAATAAGGACCCAGGATAGTATCTGTCATCCATCAGTCCAGTCCGGCCTCAGTTCTTCCTCTCCAACGGAGGTTATATACACTTTTATCTTATTCCAAAGGTCTTCTATTTCTGTTCCTTGTTTGTCATTTTCAGAGATACTCTTGAGTTCGTTGTTTATCTTCACTCTAGTTTGTCAGACTACATTATCTTGTTTGAGTTTCTGTACGCCTGTGGGTAGTAGGTAGTTTTTTGGATATTTTTTTTTTATTCGGAGCTTGGTGCGAGCTAACAACAGGTTGTGGTCCGATGGTATGTCCGCGCCGGGGTAAGTTTTACAAGAGACAACTGTATTTCGATATCTCCTGTTTATCATCACAAAGTCAATCTGATTCCTTACGATTTTATGATTGCTGCCGGAGATCGCCAACTGTAGTCTTCTGGGGTAGTATACTATGTATAAAAATCAATAAAAAAACTGCTCGAAATTATTCTATAGGCTAAATGGTGATGGTATAGTGGGATACTAAGTTATTTTCCAGCATAGTGTCTATAGAATTAGTCAGAGAAAAACAAACTGTAATTTGAATTTAGCGCCACAGCGGCGACCAATAGTATTCAAGCCGCTGACCATCTAGCAACGCTGCTCAAAATGCCTCAAAATGACAGCTGACTTCAACAGTTCAACGACGTGCGGTGTCATGTGAATCGTATGACATGTGACATTGTCGCAGACTTGCTTACGTTGTTTGATATAGTAAATTTGATGTTTCGTTCTTGACGGTCAATGTCAGTGCAAATTGTGCTTTCTCAAAACTGTGAAGTGTTGCCAGATTGGAAAAACTAACTACGTCACGAACTTTTATTTTCACGTGGGGGCGGGGCTAAGAGGAAATTTAGAAAATTTAATTCCAGGCTATTGCGGTTTTTACAAAGCAACTGATTACACTAAATAGTACGATACGTTGAGTATATCATTACGCAGTAGTTAAAAATCACTTGTATACTACCCCATTGTATTAGGCGCTCTCCCCTTGCATTTCTAACTCCCAGCCCGAAATCGCCGACCACGTGCTTCAAATTACATACTACTTATTACTAATTAAGTTTCAGTAAATCTAGCGTCATGATTATTAGGTGTGACATGGACAAACTGGTATTAGGCAACTCTGTTGTAGAGCACCGTGCACCGTTAGGTGTGTTTTCTTGATTTGACCATGGATAAAGCTCTAAGTAGAATAATATCACCCGCTTTTCATGTAGTTAGGATATTGAGGAATCAGTTGGGCTCCTCGAAGGGCAGGTCTGCGTACTATTCGCTTATTATTGATTCTTGTTTTGAATATCGAATCTTCTCCTGGGGCATGTTAATCCAATATCTGTTAAATATATTGGTTGTTGTTCAGAAGAGAGTATGAGATAATTTATCCAAAGCCAGACTCCGGATCCTTGCAAACCACTTATTTGAAGGTAAAAGATTCAATTTTTTCATGAAGTAGGTATTTATATTGGAGAAAATATTATCACTGACTCATAACGATAGACTAAGCTTCAACCCTTGTTATGCCCACTAGAATACTCGATAGATGTTGTTAAACTTAGACAGATGCTAATTGCTGAGATAGGTAATGAGTGAAAAACGATAATGGTTCAGAAGATAATTATTCAAAGAAGCTGTGTATAACCAAGAAAACGAAAACGTGTCTAGCAAACTATCAGCTGAAAGAAAGAGAATATAGTAATATTTAATGTTTACTTTACACTTGCAGTTCCAAATTTGGAACTGCGAGTGCACAATAACTTTTAACGGAGTAGTAGACCATAGTCTAATTCCAATAACAACATAATTTTCTTAGAAATCACCAACGCCAAGGAAATTTAATATTTTTTTAGTACAATATACAGGGTGTCCCAACTGGTCAAAAATGCTAGGGTACGTATAGAATGTGTCCAAGATAAGGAGGGCCAGTATGGGGATCTGATGATATGGTGGCTCAAAGACGAAACGTCGGAATACAAATTTGATAATGCCCTATTGTAGAGAAGGAAAAGTGGTAACGACGAAGTGCCCTTCATTTTGAGAACTATCTCTTCAAATAAGGTCAGGAAAAATTTCGGGTTTGGGGTTTTCCCGGATATCTTGGGTATCAATCGGATCAAAAGTCCATGGAAACATGACGCAGTGAAGAACTTGTTTCCCAGTGGACAAAGCATAAATAAAATGAAAATCTCCTAGAGCTCGTATGTAAATAAAGGTAACACGTCTATGGGTAACTCTATCAGGGTTATTTCGTCATTCTCCAATGCCCTCAGAAAATTAAAGAAAGAGCTGGATAATAATTTTTATTTGGAGTACTGCTATAGGTACCAGCTCAATGAAAAGACGAAATACCACTCTGTCTTCAGAGGCCCATTCTTAGGTGCAGAGTCTAGGAACATAGTTGACGACATAGCCTTGAACTATGCGCAGTTAACGTTGCTGAAGATACATGGGATTTTTCTTCTGTTTTCTAAAAAATTAACAATTTCAGCAGAGTATAGTGATTATTATATCCCTTTGGAGAAATACCCATTTTATTTTTTCAATAAAGTCCAACAATATTTTTCTTTCTCAAAAACTGAGTGGCAGCTGCGTGCATAATTTCTCTAATCGTGCGTAATTTGCTCCTTACGAAACTCAATCTACCAAATATGGATTTAAATTTATATATTAGCACCGCCGGAAGCAGACCAGATGATATTCGGTATCACCGGTATTGTGTTGTTTATTAGCCTTGATCTTTCGCCGGCAAAATATCTACAATTAAGCAGTCAAACCTATTGATATTAATAAGTTCGTGAATTTCCAACAAAACACAATTATCTTAAATATATAGTCGTAGGCGTATAAATTTATAAAAAGGATGACAAACAGAGCATTTGATACCGAAACGTTAAAATGTTCGATGATCTTCTGCAAAATGACAACGAAATCTTTTTCAAACAGTTGGAAAAAGATTTCCATAAATCAGAAAAAGACTTGATGGAGTTTATTGAGATTATGAGGAAATGGAGTGAGACGCAAAAGCATTTTCCTGAAAAACCAAGTAAGAAATGTAAATTAAACCAATAAAAATGTTATTCTTCTTGAAATTATTCGTTTCCAAAAGCCACAGGTGTGTCTTCGTTACGACGTTCAGCATCCTTTACGTTCTTATTTTGCTTTTCGTCTTGGGGATTTTTAAGTAAAAAAATCTTTGGAAAAAAAAATAAAAATTTACCCAGAACTCATTAACAGCACTTGTTAATGCTATCCATAGGAAATTATGCTCCACAATAATCTACATTAATTTCTTTTGAGGTGATGGTCTTCTCCGTTTCGTAATTCTGTATAACAAATTCAGCATAGAAACAGCCAAACAGAAGTTGGACACGTTTTATACAATAAGAAGCTTAATGCCGGAATTATTCAAAACTCATCCTTTGACTGAAGATTGGATTTTTCAACGCAAAATCTAGTAATGTTTTGCAAACATAATTTCAATTGCTAACATAATCATTTATAGCTATTTAGTTCCTCTGCCCAAAGTTGCAGATGAAAACATAAGGATAATCTACCAAAGAATAAATCCCGACTATAAAGATGCAAAATATTTTAATTTTGAGAACAATTTAGTTGTTTACTTGCACGTCATGCAATACATGGCTGAAAATGATCTGTGCTATCGTTTCCATTTCGTTGCCGATTGTTCTGGATTCAATTTGGGACATACTGCTAAAATGAATCCTTTAAGTATAAGGAAATTACAGATATTATTGGAAGTAAGAGTCAATTTTACCTAATCCTTCAAAGATATATTAATTTTTTTTTTCACCCCAAGAAAGTATTTTCGAATCGAATGGCTTCACTTCACATCGTAAATGCACCCTCATTCATGGAATCTTTTATGAATAATGTGTTTCTACCTTTGCTTAATCGTAAACTTCGAGATCGAGTAAGTACTTATATATCAATAGTGTTTTTGATGACGAGACTTGCATGATACGTCTATTTTTATAGGCTCAAATTAGTTCAAACACGGATAATTTGTTTAAAGTATTTGGTAAAGAACGCCTTCCGAAAGATGTAGGGGGCGAAGAAAAACCTTTGAGTGAACTAAGTGGCAAGCATTATGTGTTATAATTTCTGAAAAACATATCACATATTTGTATTTTTCAGATATGTTAACACAACAATACAGAAATCACGAAGCAAGGTTTTCTGAGCTGCAAAATCTTACTGTAAATGAATCTCTAAGGCCAGACAAACTTCAAAACGATGACTTACTGGGTTATTATGGCAGTTTTAGGAAACTGGATATTGATTAAAATTATTGTTATGATATAAAATGTATATTTGATTCTTGCTTTATGGACAATAAATATTTGTAGGTTTCTGGAATTCAAATAAAATCCTTATAAAACTCATCCGGACTTAATAATAGGCCTTATCAATCAAAATCTGTCGAACGTCTATTTTGGACTGTTTCATTGTAGGAAGCATCTCCATTTAATTGTGTAAATAGCTGTATATTTAAATTTTTTTTTTGGTTGAAGTCTTTGTGGAATGGGCATTGGAAAATTGAGGTATCTACTGAAGCGTATAGTGTGTGTGAACTGCCAGGTGAAAAGGTCTGACGGTTTTTGTAGACAATACACACGGTTTCCAAAATAAACAAACTGTATACCTAAGTACAGATTTGAAAGTAAAGGTAGCACGAATCCCTCGGCCTTGCATGACATGTGTATAGAATTTTTAATACCTATTTAGAAGTACCAGTCGTTCTAGTAACTAAACGTATGTCGCTTCTTGAACGCACAAATAAAATTAGGTTAGGAAGTTGCTATTTGTACATGAAAGTGACGTATTAGTAATCGACGTTGGTTTTTGTTGGTAATTTTTTGTTTCATCTGATTCGTGATTGATAAATAAGGATGGGGCTATTCTAAATAGGTATTAAAAATACTATATCTTACTGCACGTTTTTGTAAAGCAAATAATGAATGTAGCAGATGTGGATTTGACATTCCCCAAAAGTATATATCATAATTATCTAAGCCGTGACTTGATGAGTGCGTAATAGACGGCTCGTCCCAGAAAATTTTCAAGTGTGCATTTAACCAATGAAAAATTGTGCATATTCGTTTGAGATTGTGATGTGTATGCTTAAAAATGACGTAAATGACGCAATTATTAGCGCCATTTTTTGGGTTTTACAGAAAGCAGGGTTAGAACGTCCTATAAGTTGTCGAAAAATTGATATTTATAGATGGAGACGAAATAAAATACAAATCACAGTGACTCGCGATAATCCTCTGTTTTAACAGGCATGAGAACCGTTCCAGTTGTCCACCTATTTTTTAATAAGTTGAACGTTTATCCTAATTGAATTGATCGACTGGAAATTAGTAGAAATTACCGTTCTAGAACGGTTCTCATGCCTATTGGAACAGAGCTCTTCTTACCAACAGTAATGACAATGGAGCTCATTTGGCTCTGTTTTTCCAGTTACAGGTCTAGAGATGTTTATTTGCGACTCAAATGTTTCAAAAAAAAGTCAAAACTGGTATAAAACAGTGGCCGAGGTCGTTTTTGTCATCTTTTTCATCGATTTGCTCCGAAATTTTGACAGGCACGTGATTTGTAAATTGAAACTGTCTTATCCAGTCACGTGCCTGTCAAAATTTCGGAGCAAATCGACGAAAAAGATGACAAAAACGAACTCGGCCAGTGTCTCAAGACGTCATAACTTCTTCGCGCGAGAAAATGGTTTGAAAACGTGGATTGGATTGTAATTCGAAACGGTTTGAACCAATTTTATTATGACGTCACGGGTTCATTGCGAGATTTGTTTAAACCAATCAAACCTGTTTTGAACCAGTTTCAAAAAAATTACCGCGAGAAAACAGCTTTTAGCTTTGCTTTCTGTGATATATGTGCATAACGTCTCTAATAACTCTAAATAGTCGTGTATGCGCTAGCTCTCTATTAGTGTATTGTTAGATTAACAATGGGTTTTTTGTGACTACAGTACCATTCCTTTGGGTACGGAGAATTGAATATTTTAGTAATAAATAGACCATCACTCAAATTAGTGTGTTTCATTTATAGTATATTACAGTGGCGACGAGGATTTAAAAATAAGAAACCTGTCTTAGTTTACTTTCGGAAATTTTCACGAAAATAGTACTATCGGGTTGATCAGTACTTCTTAGTGTGCATTAGTGTGATTTTATAACAAAATGGCACCGCCATTAGAAGCCAGTGCTGTCACCATTAAGACCGAATACGTCGGACTTTTGGGGTCTTTGAATACGTTTGACCCCAAAATATCAAATTTTTCGGTGTTTGCCGAAAGACTTAAGCAATTTTTTATTGCTAACAATATCACGGATAGTGACAGGAAACGAGCAATTTTACTGAATACTCTTTCTGAAGATTGTTACGTTTTGGTGAGGAACTTGTGTGTTCCTGATCCGCCTGAGTCAAATAGTGTTGAGCAGCTCATGAAGATACTTACTGATCATTTTTCGCCTGTCAAGTCATACTTTGCTGAAAGGCTAAGGTTTTACAATTGTAAACGTCAGCAGGGTGAATCGATTGCTGATTGGCAAGCAAAAGTAAAGAGTTTAGCCGCCAATTGTGGTTTTGGTACAGAGCTTTCTGTGGTAATGCGCGATATTTTTGTCACAGGAATTAACGATGACAAAATTATGGATCGTCTTTTTGAGGAAGATGCCTCAAAAACTACCTTCGAAAAAGTGGTAAAAATTGCCCTTAGTAAAGAGTCAGCTTTAAAGGATCATGATGTTAGAGGAAACCTAGGTGTTGGTATAAAACAAGAGCCAGTATACTTCCAGAAACCCAGACGTCAAAACTTCCCAAGATCCCAAAATGGAAATGGGATAGGTTTTAAAAAAGGAAATTTTTCAGGTGCAGGAGGAAGTGATACAGCCCGGATTAAGTGCACAGTGTGTGGTCGTAAAAATCATTCTATAAAAGATTGCGTTTATAAAAATTGTAATTGCCATAACTGTGGCATGAAAGGTCATTTAGCACCCCAATGTAAACGCAGCAGTCGACATAATTTTTTACAAGACAATCAAGACTCTGAAGAATCTATATTTAATATTCGGGACTTGGATGTAAATAGGATAGAAAGTTCAGGTAATATCAAGCCATTTTTTATTAACTTAATTGTTGAAAATATATATACCAATAAATTTTGAAATTGATTCTGGTTTCGCTCATTCAGCAATCTCAGAAAAATTATATTTTAAACATTTTAGTGGCAAAGAGGTATTTACTAACGATTTGTCTTTAACTGATTATATCGGCCTCACCTTCAAACCAATTGGTTATTTGAAATTAAATATTAAATTTGAGAAAAAAAAATATATTCTAAAAACTTATGTAATAAAAAATGGAGGCCCTCCACTGATCGGCAGAAATGCGTTATCTATGCTTAATTTTGGTTTTTGTAAATTAAATACGGATAATTCTAAGCTTTTAGAAAAAAATTCCATGTATACAGTATCTAGCATAGTACAAGGTTGCACGGATTCTTCTACAAGTATTTCTAGCTTATTAAAAAATTACCAAGAAATTTTTGATTCAAAGATTGGCACATTTAATAAATTTAAAGTTACCATAAATGTAAAAAATGGAGCAATTCCAAAATTTTGCAAAGCAAGGCCAATTCCTTTTGCTTTAAAGCCTAAAATAGAAAAGGAACTTGACCGTCTTGTGCAAAATGGTGTATTAGTAAAAACTGAATTTTCAGAATGGGCAACTCCTATTGTACCAGTTTTAAAAAATAATGGGGATATACGCATATGCGGAGATTTTAAAATAACATTAAACCCTTTTTTAGAAAATGTTCATTTTCCTTTACCTCGCGTCGAATATTTATTCGCACAATTACAGGGTGGTCAAAAGTTTTCCAAGATAGATTTGTCTGAAGCTTATCAGCAGATTGTGCTTACAGAAGAATCTAGGAAACTTGTGACAATTTCCACACATAAGGGTCTTTTTTCTTACACCAGATTACCGTTTGGAATAACGAGCGCTCCGGCCATATTTCAAAATATAATGGAACAAATATTTATATGTCCGGGAGTCGTTTGTTTTTTGGACGATATTTTGGTCACTGGGGAAAACGATTTTTCACACTTGGAGCGCCTAGAGTATGTTTTCCGTCGACTTCAAGAATGTGGTTTGAAAGTTAGGAAAGAAAAATGTTCGCTATTTCAAGACTCTGTAAATTATCTTGGTCACAGAATTGACAAAGCAGGGTTACATACCTCAGAAGAGAGAGTGTTAGCAATTAAAAAATGTCACGTCCCTAAAAACGTCACTGAACTTAAGTCGTTTTTGGGAATGATAAATTATTATTGTAAATTCATTCAAAATGCTTCGGATATACTAAAACCCTTATATAGCCTTTTGAAAAAAGATGCAAAGTGGCATTGGTCATTAGAATGCTCGAAAAGTTTCGAAACTTCTAAAAATATGTTATTGTCATCAAAGGTTTTGACACATTTTGACCCCTCTAAAAAAATTAAATTAACAGTGGACGAATCTCAGTTCGCTTTGGGGGCCACTTTAAGTCATGTTTTTGACAATAATATAGAAAAACCAATAGCTTTTGCGTCACGTCTTCTGAATAAGGCTGAAGTTTCTTATTCACAAATTGAAAAAGAGGCGTTAGCTATTATTTTTGGAGTAAAGAAGTTTTTCCAGTATATTTATAATCAAAAATTTTTATTGATAACCGATCATAAACCCTTGTTGACCATTTTTGGTGATAAAAAAGGAATACCGGTTTTTGCAGCAAATCGTTTGCAACGCTGGGCTCATATTTTGTCCGCATTTACTTTCGACATAAAATATGTTAGTTCTGCTAAAAATACAGCAGATTTTTAATCTAGAAGTCCTTTAATGAATTCGGTTCAGTACGAGGACGACAAAATATTATTTTTTAAAATAAATTCCGAAGTATCTTATTTGAATTTGTTGAAAGAAGGTCAAATACCTATTGAGTTTTCTCAAGTAAAAAACGAAACAAATAAAGATCCGGTCTTGTCTAAGGTACTTTTTTATTTACGCTTTGGATGGCCAAATGTTTGTCCATCTGAGGGATTTAAACCTTATTTCAATAGAAGAAATGAACTAAACATTGAACAAGGATGTGTATTGTGGGGTTTCAGATTAATTATTCCACCCAAATTGCAAGATTTGGTGTTAAATGAACTTCATTCTACACATATGGGAATAGTTAAAATGAAATCGCTCGCAAGATCCTATGTTTGGTGGCCTTTAATAGATTTTCAAATAGAACTTTTATCTAAGAAATGTAATTGT